ATGGATATGTGGTACATTGGGCTATGAAGGCCTTAGAGATTTTTAAATGAGTGCAAATTGTGCAGAATGGCCATGTTTATATACAACTTATGAAGCAACATGCACCCTAAAATGCTTACTTTTCGAGTTATTAACATAGAACGGGAGGCAAAAATGGCTGATATAACCAATTTTGCTCTATTTTTTCTCTGTTTTTTCCCCCAAATAACTGATTTCTGGAACCGAAAATCAGTTTTTTCGCCAATAACTGAAACAGTAAGCACTTTAAGGCATATGTTTCTTCGTAAGTCATATATAAATATGCCAATTGCGGTTCTTTTGCACTCTATCCAAAGACTCTATCACAATCCTATCAAAAGTTAGTAAAATCGGCTCAGCGCCACGCCCAAAATGGTTTTTGGCGAATTTCTCGAAAAGTAAGGATTTTAGGCAATGTGTTGATCAATAACTCTTATATAAACATGCATATGCGGCTTCGTTTAAGCCTATTTTGAAGTCTCTACGACCTTCAGAAGCAAGGGGTCAGTTACGTTATTGGGTCAGATGGGCGTGGCCCTCCTGGGTTTTGCCCAAAGTAAAAAAAATGTCTCCAACCGAAAATCGTTTTATCATACCTTTGGGAAGGTCTGTGCAAAGTTTCGTGGGTATCTGAAAATTTGCAGGCACATGTCCATAAATGACTGGACTAATACAATAATTACCTCAGGTGCCAAATTTTGTGAAGAAGCTCACATCTGACAAAATACCAGTGTTCGATCAGACGGAGATATTGTCAATATCCTGCAAAGACATACTAGACAGTATCCCGGTGTTGGCTGATTACGTCATCAATGACGTCATCAAGCACTGTGAGAAGGCTCTGGAACAGACCCAAGCTGTACCGAGATTGTTCAGGCGGACTAATAGGGAGGTTAGTGCCACAGGGGCCTTCTTTTAAAACTTCATTTCCAATTCGCACGTGCATATTTTTGAACATGCACTCACCGTTTATCACGTGTCTTATCACGTGTCTTATCACGTGTCTTATCACGTGACTTATCTACGAATATTCTCCATCCAGATGCCGACAGAGCCACTAGGATACGTGTCCCAGTTGATAGGACCGATAGAGACGGATATATACAACTCTGTGCTACCTGACATAGTCAGACAAGAGTGGTGCTCCAAAACAGCTCACCAACTTGTTACCAGGTTAGTTATGATCACGTGACTTGTTACCATGACGACGTATGACGCACCACCCCTCCCCTCTCCTGATAATATATCTAACGATTAATGACAGTTAAAAGATAACCCCATCTCCCCAGATATAGTGAGACAGTGGCTGAGATCCTTATCTCCCTCCGCAAGACAGAAGACAGTTTGGCCATGTTGAAACGAGGTCGGAAGTCAGCAGCCCAGACCGCGAGCACGACTAACTCCTGTACTGACGAAGATAAGATCAGAGCGCAGTTGAAACTTGATGTTACCGAACTAGGGGCCAAGGTGAGATTTGGAAGAAATAGCACGTGCTTGCTTTATACTATTATAATTGCACGTGAATCAATGGTTCAATTCTTTTTCTTCGAATACGCTTTATAGTCCAGTCATTTATGGACATGTGCCTGCAAATTTTCAGATACCCACGAAACTTTGCACAGACCTTCCCAAAGGTATGAATAAACGATTTTCGGTTGGAGACATTTTTTTTACTTTGGGCAAAACCCAGGAGGGCCACGCCCATATTGACCCAATAACGTAACTGACCCCTTGCTTCTGAAGGTCGTAGAGACTTCAAAATAGGCTTAAACGAAGCCGCATATGCATGTTTATATATAATAAGAGTTATTGATCAACACGCCTAAAATCCTTACTTTTCGAGAAATTCGCCAAAAACCATTTTGGGCGTGGCGCTGAGCCGATTTTACTAACTTTTGATAGGATTGTGATAGAGTCTTTGGATAGAGTGCAAAAGAACCGCAATTGGCATATTTATATATGACTTACGAAGAAACATATGCCTTAAAGTGCTTACTGTTTCAGTTATTGGCGAAAAACTGATTTTCGGTTCCAGAAATCATGCAAAAATATGGGTATGTGGTACATTGGGCTATGAAGGCCTTAGAGATTTTTGAATGAGTGCAAATTGTGCAGAATGGCCATGTTTATATACAACTTATGAAGCAACATGCACCCTAAAATGCTTACTTTTCGAGTTATTAACATAGAACGGGAGGCAAAAATGGCTGATATAACCAATTTTGCTCTATTTTGTGCAAATTTTCTCTGTTTTTCCCCCAAATAACTCGAAAAGTAAGCATTTTAGGGTGCATGTTGCTTCATAAGTTGTATATAAACATGGCCATTCTGCACAATTTGCACTCATTCAAAACTCTCTAAGGCCTTCATAGCCCAATGTACCAAATACCCATACTTTTGCATGATTTCTGGAACCGAAAATCAGTTTTTCGCCAATAACTGAAACAGTAAGCACTTTAAGGCATATGTTTCTTCGTAAGTCATATATAAATATGCCAATTGCGGTTCTTTTGCACTCTATCCAAAGACTCTATCACAATCCTATCAAAAGTTAGTAAAATCGGCTCAGCGCCACGCCCAAAATGGTTTTTGGCGAATTTCTCGAAAAGTAAGGATTTTAGGCAATGTGTTGATCAATAACTCTTATATAAACATGCATATGCGGCTTCGTTTAAGCCTATTTTGAAGTCTCTACGACCTTCAGAAGCAAGGGGTCAGTTACGTTATTGGGTCAGATGGGCGTGGCCCTCCTGGGTTTTGCCCAAAGTAAAAAAAATGTCTCCAACCGAAAATCGTTTTATCATACCTTTGGGAAGGTCTGTGCAAAGTTTCGTGGGTATCTGAAAATTTGCAGGTACTAACCCAAAAATGTCCGTAAATGACTGGACTATTAGTGTTTTCGTTATTTCTTTTGTTTTAATTCTGGGTTTTATCAGTATAGTAAATCAGATAAGTGTGTAACATGATCGGTTGACCATTGTGATTTAATTTTGCTACAAATTTCAGTTAGACATAATGGGTATTCCTAAAGGAGAGGAATTCGAGAAACTACAGAACTTGGTTGCTAAGCGTTAGAACTTAGTTGCTCAGAGTTAGAACTTGGTTGCTCAGAGTTAGAACTTGGTTGCTCAGTGTTAGAACTTGGTTGCTCAGAGTTAGAACTTGGTTGCTCAGAGTTAGAACTTGGTTGCTCAGTGTTAGAACTTGGTTGCTCAGTGTTAGAACTTGGTTGCTCAGAGTTAACAGATTTAAAAACAGTCCTACAGGGTTTTCTTGTGCATGTTTTATTTTTAACAGAAGATAAGAGATAATAATGTATCTTGACAATTAACTGAGATAGTTTTTCAACAAAATACTATACAAACTTAAAGCTGCTGTTTATTATTTTATTATTTCATTCTTTGAATCCCAAAACAATATTGAATTTGTATACGTCCGAAGTGTACCTATTATTTTAGAAGGAGTGACATTAACTTATTCAGAGTTCTTATTAGAATGGGTTTGCGCTTTCTGTGTTAAATTATTGATAAGTTGTATAACATTAGTATTAATTAGTTGTATAATTAGTATTGTTTGATAAGATCGAGATACTCGAGTTTATTAACATACATTTTCAAATTCGTTCATCAATAATTTATCTAACTCGTTGGTAGGTTAAGTATTGCAATGTTCCAGCATGTACGCCCATTTTTCCTTCACGTTGACGTTGGGATACTTTTCCTCTATACGATTGAGCTGATTGGTGCCATACACAAGGCTAAGAGCCACGATCAGGACATCCAACACAAAACATACAACCCATATACCGTACATTGCGAAACGTATGTGATCGTACAGTGTCATTGCTACTAACCCTATGAAAAGGGTTAGGGAACAGAAGCCCATGTAGCATAACTCCAACTTTCTCTTAGTATTGAACAATTGTCTCATCTCCTGCACGTGATCAGCTGCTGACACGTGATCTGCTGGCACGTGAACTATTAGTAGTACTTTATGCTCGTAGTTCTCGTCCACTACCAAACTGTCCATCTTGCTACCACTTTGTTACACTGGTGTTGGTTTTTAACAAGAATTGCGCCCGTTGTTTCGTTTTGGCGGACGCTAGATTTCCATTCACTATAACTATAAATATAGGCTTCAATAATATGTGTATCAATATTATTTAATCAGCTTACTTCATAATAATAATATTGATACACATCAGAACACTATACTAGCATGCCAAGTACATAAATTGTTTTTTTTTAAATCGTCATCAGTTATACAATATCAATTAGTTTTAAAAGTGCCCGGAACATTGAAACTACATCATTTTTGTAGCTTTAATTCGATACAAAATGTAAATTTATGGGCATCATGATCAGAAATTACCAAGAAGATTCAATTAATCTTTCGATCGATTAACGCAGGCCAAGAATTTAAAATGTTGAGACAATCGAAAAGCTGAAAATCTATAAAATGCAATGAAATGATTTACTAAACAATGCTGAATTCCAGACTGGGCTAATAGTAATATTATTTTGCTCGCCCACAAATTATCACGTGACCGAAACAGTTTTTGCCTATAATTTTTCAGGGAAATTTTACCTTATGTCATTGGGGGTGATTCGGAATCAGCGTTTAAAAATACATCGATATAAGTTACTTTCATACCGGCTCAAAACCTTGTTACAAGATTTTTTTAAATTTGGGCGAGCGATTTATTGGAAACGGACAGATTGTGCAATAATAAGACAATTATTCAATAAAACAATAATAGTATAAAGTCCTTAAGTAAACACATACCGTACGTGTACATATAAACGTACGTTTTACAATTTTTGGAATGTGGAATGTAGCGATGATATTCATTGATAATGATCTGGTATCAGCTGGCAGATTTTAGGAATTTGTCTGCCGTTTTTAGGGATTTTATTTATTATTGACACTCTGAACGCAATATGTTTACTGATCCTTAAAGTTAGGAGTCGTTCACATACTACCAACTACGTAATCAGCCGAGGGGGGAGGGGGTTCCCAAATGATTACGTAACCAGAATTTTATTTTTTACCCTCTAGAGTCTAGAATAATGTGACAATATTTTAATTCAAATTTCACTCTGATAGTAATAAAATTTAGAAATTGATCGGATATCTGACTTTAGTAAGAAGTTTATAAGGTTATTGCAGATTGGCCGGATATCAATCAGAAATTTCATTAATTTCCAGAGAAAATTCTCGAGCTAGGTCCTAAAAAATATTTTCGGCTCATAGTCATACTCATAATGATGAGGGTGATGGTCGAAATGAGCTGTCAACTGTGAAGAAAAGTAGTTTCCAGGAAAACTTTAAAATTTTTGACTAGATTCGGATTATATGTACATTGAAAGGCAGACTCCCCGCTTCCGAACTCGTATTGCATAATAGCTAGGGGAGCCTCGACTCCAAGATCATCGGGGGGGGGGGGGGAGGGGGTTCAGCCTGTCAAGTGTCAATCTTCATATTGTTTATGAACACTAAGCCTGGGTACCTCGATGAGTTTTAGCCAACAAAAGGGCCTCAGTATTAAAAAATTCAATACACCGACACGTACAAGCGAATAAAATTCAGGGGAAACAATTCCAAACAAAGGAAGTCATTTCTATAACCAAAGACGGTGAATCAGTGACAGTACGTGATACTGATAACGGTAATAATAATATTACTATTTACGCGGCCGCGCTCAACCTGTTAAACTTAATGTTATGTCATTCCCAATTCCGCCGAATCTATATTTATGTTTATTTATGAACATAATAGCCTGAGAAATATCAAATAACGGAGTAGTTCGCTGTTTATTAGTCTCATGATTGAAATACTGATATAGTAAGGGGAAAAGTGGTCGATTTAAGGGTTCCGTTGGATTTGAATGTTCACAAGGATTTCTCAACGGAATATGGTAGTTAGGACCCCTACGAACATAATTAGACTTGTTGCCAATTTTGTATCTCAACAGAAACACCACTTTTACCACTTTTTACCACCTTTGTACCACCTTTCTGGTTTGCCAAATATCTTTAGTTGTGAACGTCGTAGAAGGCTGCAAATTAACCTAGAATGTTTATCTTATCAAGGAGTAAAACTTTTGTATGAAAACTTGTTACATTGGACAATCAGCTAATTGGATAATTACCAATTAGTAAATCACCAAAAAAAGTGAAAATTTTTTATTGGCTCAAAATGATTGAAATCGTTTGAAACACGGAGAAATGTAGTTTTTAGAAAAACTTCAAAAATGTTTCACTTAAAATTTTTTTTCGAGACTTTTTCGAGACTTTTTTTCGAAAAAAGTTTGAAAATTTGAAAATATATTATTCCGCCAAAATTGCTCGAATTGCATGAAACGTGGATAAAAATGCTTTGCAGAAAAACTTCGAAGATTTTTAGATTGGGGAATACTAAAATCATCAATATTTGAAGTTGGAGTTCAGTAAATCTCGACATATTTTATTAATTAAGAATAGCTTAGCGGAAAGGGCTGAACCTGAAAAAGGTTAACCACACAATATTAGAGTTTCATAACTAATTACAATACAGCTTTATCAAATTCCACATAAAGAAACAGCACAAAAGGACCATTTAAGATCGAACCGATTTTACCTGCTGTACTATCATTTAATTGATTTCAATGATCAAAACCTCTGTACCGTCAATCTTGCCAATCTATACCGGGTATCTGAATGTACCGGACCTCTTATTTACCTCTATAATTAGACACAGTTGTGCAAGAAATGCGATTTCTCACAGGGGTTTCTTTTAACTGTGCACTTTTTGTCACTCTCGCAAGAGGCCCGGTATTATAGGGGGGTATAGGAAGCGAGTGTAAATCTACCTTTCATCATCCACTGTGGCTTTTTTGTATTGTGAATGCGCATGCCGCTTCGTTTGCTATGCCAGAATCCAGATACCTCAAATAACCCTCATATCATATTGCCAGGGTGAAGGGTCGGGATAGAGCTGGAGATAGCATCGAGAGGTTGCTAGAAATAGCTAGATTTAGAGTAAACTGGTGGTAGCTAGGTGGTGCTAGCATGGATGTAGCAGAACGTAGCTACACGGGGTTTCATTGGAGTTGGTTATTTTAATGGCCAAAGAGTGCCGGAACTAAAGTTACTTAAGATTGCAGTTGAGGGGCAGTGTAAACCACGGTGTAGTCAGGGATACAGAGCTACAGTGCAGGAGTACTGCAAAAGAACAGTGCAAGTGATACAGTCTGCAACAGTAAAACGCCGAAGAAGCTAGACTTAGAGTGAACTGATGGAAGCTGGGTGGTGCTAAAATGGAGGTAGCAGAACTGAGAACGTACTACATGATGAAAACATGAAAACTAAGGCTGGTTGAGACCTAAAAAGATGTGAATCTGTCCTGATAGATCCATTGAAGAGCGAGTAGCGAAGAGTAAGATCACTAACCTAAAGCTCTAAAGAAGAAGAGGGCTAAAGAGACTCACTTTGATCAATAAATCCGGTACGGCAAGGTCTGTAGCCTTGATAAGAAGATACCATGAAGTAATTCATGCGGAAAAGTCGATTTATATAAAGGGTTTCGTTGTATCTAAAAAGTGTGGGTCAGTCTCTCTGTTTTCATCAGATTCTGATGAAAGGCTGTTAAGCTCAGGACGGTGATCTTAATAGGTCGGATAGCTGTACCTGGTTGCTTCCAGCCCACCCTTGTCGCTTGAAAATAAGTTCTCACCCCACCTCTTCCAAAAATGCAGTTACTAGAGCAGGAAACTCTTCTTCCTCCTCTTCTTTCAACCCAAACACAATCAGGTTCCAGCTCCTCTCCTCCTCTGCAGCCACAATCTTATCTCCTTCTTCGGCGTTTTACTGTTGCAGACTGTATCACTTGCACTGTTCTTTTGCAGTACTCCTGCACTGTAGCTCTGTATCCCTGACTACACCGTGGTTTACACTGCCCCTCAACTGCAATCTTAAGTAACTTTAGTTCCGGCACTCTTTGGCCATTAAAATAACCAACTCCAATGAAACCCCGTGTAGCTACGTTCTGCTACATCCATGCTAGCACCACCTAGCTACCACCAGTTTACTCTAAATCTAGCTATTTCTAGCAACCTCTCGATGCTATCTCCAGCTCTATCCCGACCCTTCACCCTGGCAATATGATATGAGGGTTATTTGAGGTATCTGGATTCTGGCATAGCAAACGAAGCGGCATGCGCAATGCGCATTCACAATACAAAAAAGCCACAGTGGATGATGAAAGGTAGATTTACACTCGCTTCCTATACCCCCCTATAATACCGGGCCTCTTGCGAGAGTGACAAAAAGTGCACAGTTAAAAGAAACCCCTGTGAGAAATCGCATTTCTTGCACAACTGTGTCTAATTATAGAGGTAAATAAGAGGTCCGGTACATTCAGATACCCGGTATAGATTGGCAAGATTGACGGTACAGAGGTTTTGATCATTGAAATCAATTAAATGATAGTACAGCAGGTAAAATCGGTTCGATCTTAAATGGTCCTTTTGTGCTGTTTCTTTATGTGGAATTTGATAAAGCTGTATTGTAATTAGTTATGAAACTCTAATATTGTGTGGTTAACCTTTTTCAGGTTCAGCCCTT